GTATGTTGACGGCATTGGAATTGGATCAGCCATGCTACACACAATAACCCGACCCTGTTGTCCGACTCCAACAAGCCCCACAGTCCTCCCATCGCGCCGCTTTCTCGCATGCGCTGATGGCCGCGCTACAGCTTATCAGGTCCTTGGCCGACGGTCGGGGTACCCGGACCCACCCGCAATTATATATATTACGGGATAATATAGATAGATAGATATATATATATATATGATGCGATACAATGATAATGATAATGAGGAAGAGAGTTGTACCACAATGAAATTCCAATTTATGCCCTGCACAAACCGGAAGCAAACCTGCCAAAACGAAGTCCACCTGCTCATTGAAACAATAATAGGCAGTGTGATAAGGGGGGCTTTTGGTTTGGAGTGGTAGCCTTGTGCCGTGTAACCCCGCAACATCCCCCTCCACCTTCATCCACCTTCATGCCACCTTCCATCCTTCCCAGTCTCCACCTGCAGCTTTAGTCGGAACATGTCCTCGAACAGGGCCACCGCGAGCTGCCACTCGGCGGCCTTCTCGCATGCGCTCATCGCCGCGCTACAGCTGATGACATCGCAAGGGATCGCAGTTCGAGGCATCTGACGCAAGATCTCCAGGGCGAAGCGCCATTGGGCACCCCTCCTCAGATGGATCCCGCCAGGGAACTCAACAAATGATCTCACAAGGGTCCACCTTTGGGGTGGAAGGACTGTAACCTACACAACCATACACAACCTATCACAACACACACCGAGGGGCCCTAGGTCACCCAGCATGTGTGCACAACCTGCTATTGCTATTGGGAAGTCTTAGGCGGCTCTCAGGGAGAAGTGGCAAACAGGGGGAAGTGGTAAACTTCAAGCTCCAAAGCTCTCACAGGCAGAGATGGCAGCATTGCAGGTGATTGTATTTTGTTTCACCTTGGACCGCGGCATGGAGGACAAAATGTCCAAAGCCATTGCCCAAAGGCTTCCCTTGGCACAGGCATTCACGGATGCGCCGCAGAGCACGGTGTTTTTGCCAACGGACTTCTCCTCCATGCACTGCCAAAGGTGGAGCACCTAAATGTGTAGGTCCAGCCAGAAAACGAACTGATTCCGCGCTAATACACCGCGGAGTCTGGACTTTGGGGGGTCTGACGAACTATGGCGCTGTCTGCATTCCCCCAGACGCTATGGCGAGTGACGACCCGAAATGACCCAGCTAACTAAGGCAAAGGCTTTCCACCACGCTTGTCCCCTGGCACATGCACAAATCGCGGTGCCATAGGTGATGGTGTCCATTTCTACCTCGAAAACAAACGAGGCAAATTGGTTCATCCACTCTTCTCCAAACTCATACGCATCGCGAAATGCTTCACACCCAGTGAGGCAATCTCCCCATTCCGACTTCTCTCTTTCCATTGCCCCACCTCTTCTCGGCACATTCGAGCCATCACACCGATGGCGGCCTTCCATTGCCCCAAGCGCTCACAAGCACTGACCTTGCTGAGACACCAATCCAAACGTGGCTTGCATGTTTCGGCTTGGTTCGATGAACAGCTCATATGTGCAGCGGTCAACACATGCTAGCCATTCTGCTGCCATGGTATCGCTCTTCAAGGTTCCCTATCCCTCCACGCAGTCCCAATTAAAAAACAAAGAACCCCACAACCTCAGGCCATAGACAAGCTCTTTGCTACGTGGCATTTCAAAACCCTAGTAGCGTTATATAGTGAGTTGTGGCTCTACACATGGGGGGGTGGTTAGGACTGGAATTCTGAGGTATCGCTCCAGGTATCGTTTGATATTGGTTTGGGTACACTCCCGGTCACTAACTTGGCAGATGAATCACAAAAAAAAGAATTGGTTGTGGCAACTGAGGTCATGTTAGTGAGACACCCTGAGGAAACCCTCAGAACATGGCAGCAATCTACACTAACATGGCAGTTGGGGCAGTAGCTGGCTTGATGGATTTTGCCGCTAACATGGCAGCAGTTCTGCCTTGCAGTCCAAACAAGTTTGCCTGCCACAACCCCAAAAATGCCCGGGGAAACGTTTGACGAGTAGGGCAATAGTCTTTTTCTGAAACTTCCATGTTAGTGGTCCAAAACCCGCCTGACCCTGGACAGAACAACGAAACGATGCAGCTTGATCCAACAAGGCTCCATCAATGTTCACTAACATGGAACCTTGTGAATTTGGAAAAGAAGGCCTGTGTTACATTAACAAAGAACCTGCGCAAGAGTCGGCCAGCTTCCTTATTGATGAACAAACGTGTGTTTTGTGAGAATTCTGCAACCTTCTATGTTAGTGTAACTTTGGCGTTTACCACCTGTTTTTTCACTAACATGGCAGCTGAACCTGCAAAACCTGACATACGGAAGTCAATACTAACATGGCAGTCGAAAAAACAAAAAAACAAAGTCGCTCTGTTGTCTGTGGAGTGGTGGGGAGAGTATCGCTCTAGAACCCATGTGTTCCAAAACTTGTGAAAGTTATTGCTAAGTTGCAGCTGCTTTCCTTTTGATTTTGGGACGAACCCCGACAACCACTGGCTCAAATGGGGTTGTCAGTGTATACATATATATATATATGTGTGTATGTGTGTGTGTGCGTGTGTTATAATATATGAATCTATTTGCTTTAGTCAGTTATTTAATTACACTATAAGTATGCGCGTGTGCAAAATATCAGGCATGGAATCACATGCCCTCAAGAGAAAACGGCTTTGTTTGGATTCCTTGCTTCCTGCAGAAATGTTGAGGGCCCACGTGTTCATTCTATTGGTCCCGCTTGCTCCGGCGAGCTTGCACAAGGCAGTCATTAAATGATAACTAGCTTCAAGAACCCTCCTCTTTCACTCCAGGCAGCTGCAGTGTTGTAGGCGACTTGCTCCGGAGGCATCTCTACGCGCACCATCTGCTCAAGCAACTGAAAGGCCAGCTCCCATTGCCGTCCACGATCCAGAGCACTCAGAACCACACAGAAGATCTTGAGGTCCTTGGGTCAAGAAGCTTCAACCAAAATAATCATTTGAATCACTTGATCAGTCTTACCTGGACACCAACTTGCCATACAGTACAGGGACCAATGAAGCAAATAAACCCATTCGGCGATCACTATAGCTGACGGTTGCCAAAGGTCTGTGCCAATGGAGAAGTGGCTGGCGCTTTGCAAAAGGGCCAGGGCCGCTTCCCAGGCACAGCCTTTGCTGCAGGCACGAATGGCCGCAGACATATGGATCTCATCCACCTTCACCCCCTCTCCTGGATGCAGGGTGCCAAGGCAAACAAAACCAAAGTACAAAGACTGATAGAATCAAATTACACACACATATATATATATATATACAGTATGTCACACAACGCAGGATTGATATGGGTGTCCGCCATCCATAACGCAGGATAAAATGCCCCAAGCAAACACGTGTTTGCCTAGGCCGATCAGTCCTAACTGGCACAGCAGCCCCAGTGCCTTTGGCCACTGCCCCAGGTTGCCAAACTTGACAAGCAGCTTTGTGGCTAAGCGGGGATTGCTCCAATCCATTGCCTCAAGAAGTCTCAAGGGGAAACCCCCACGAGAAGCAAAACGTGGCAAATTGGCGAAGCGGAGAATGACAACGTACAGCAGGACCAGTTCTCTGGAAATTATAGGCGGGCCGTGGACGTCCTTCTGCTGCAACTGGTTCTTAGAAATTGTGTAATATTTGTCCATCAGCAGAAAGTCCGTCTTTCATTGTTCCTGTGTCACAACCCCAAGTGCACAGATTCAGATCCAAGCATCAACATCTGCTGTCCTTCCTCGCCCCTCAGGGAGAGTCTGCCTGGTCAACTTCAACGGAAATTCCATCGTGCTGCGGCAACTGCAGCCAAAAACTGCGACTGGCGGCGGTTGTATTGACCAAGACAAAAAGATCTAGGTAGAGCGGGCATACCCAGTCCTTCTCAACTATCCCATAATTGAAGGTCCGTTTCCTCACCATCCCCCAACACCTTGAAACACCTTGAGTGCGGGGTGCGGTGACATTCTTGCCCTGTCTTGGGACCACTCTTGGGACCATCCAGGTCAATAGACTTCAATAAACAACGAAACCTCGAACGCTCGCATCAAACATGCGGCGGTGAGCAGGGCAGCTGCTAGCAGCTGTTACGTTAAGCATCTTCGCCAGCTTCTTTTTCCAGCCTGCCGGCTTAAGGATGCAAAAAGCTACAAAGCCGGCTCGCATGAGCGAGCGTCTTCAACAATTCGATGGCTTGGTCATTGTCCTTCGACAAAGGCAAGGCACCCCCATAAGGGTAATTCTTGCCTCTGCCCTCCAGAGATGCCTGCGGAAGGTTTTCAGAACACTGTAGTGGCGCTGCTTCAACAGGGAAGAGAGGAAGCATGATAGGCTTGCACGAAAGGAAGGCATATGACGGCATCATATCCTGCCACAGATGTTCATAGATTGCATGAGTGTGGTGGATCTAAGCCCAATCTGCCAAGAAAAATCCATGGGTGTATAGCTTGCATTGTGTTCGTCGGTTTGATTCTACAGACTCGGCTACTCTTGAGCACCTCGTGCAGCCATGATCGATTGCCCTTCTTGATTCTATCCCGGCAGAATCAACTGCACCATCTTCAGCCAATGAGTCATGCCTGACATTATCACCAGGATATCAACCTCGCAGGCATCCACTGCAGAGCGGCACTTGGCCAGCCAATGGTCTTAGACCAAAGGACTTGACAATGCCAAGTGAATTTCGTCGCGCGGGGATCGGTGGGGAGTGAAAAGAAAGAATCTGTGCAAACGTTTTGGGCAGGCATCCGGTGTGCACTAGGCCTCACACAATCCACGCTGGGGTGCGAACGCCGTGAAAAAGAGGCTGCCACCGAGAGGCGCAGCCTCAACTTCATGCCTCCGACTTCGATTAAGCCATTTGGTCTCAGGCTGATCAATGAGTCACGGTCTCCCCAGCACCTTCATGTCCATAATTCAGTCAATATACCGTTGGTTAAAACATAGGGGGGTCAACTTGATTCATTCCAACATTGGGAGACCAAATGAGAGCGCTGTCTGCACCTGCGACAGGCACAGAAGCTGCGACATGTGAATGCTCACAGGTTGCTGTTGCCAGCCTCGGCTTTTGGAGCTCGGGCTGGGCAGTCGGCAGACAGGGTAGTCCGCATGGCCCTGCACATGCGGAAGGTCTTTTCTTTCTACCTTGCGAACCTGGCTCAATGTGGCGCGGAGCGCGCGCTCGCGAACCTGAAGAAACGTGCTCTGCTGGCGAATTTCAACGTCCGAAATCGGGCGAGCGAAATCACCCCAACACATTTAGAGCCCCGACAGCCTCTGAGTGTCACACCGAAGGCCCACTTCTGTGCATTAACGTTGCAAAGGGGAGCTTCTCACAATAGACCCAGATTATCCAGAACTGGCACACCACTGAACCAGGGGTCTGTAGAGAAATCAACCCCGGCAAAAACTGGAAATGGACCTTTTGATTGATCTGATTCTGTGGTGTTCTTGCGGAGGAATATGTTCTACGAAGTCCCTCCGATTACGATTAGAGGTGGAAAGCCGACAGGTTGGGCGTACCATGAACCAAAACCCTGTGGTCGTTCTGAATGGTTTGGGAATGCCTTCATCCCTCTACCCTGATCCACTGGGCCCTCAACTGGCGTGTCTGGCAGGCGATCTTGGAGCTCCTTAAACTGTTTCCGGATGAAGTGATCAAGCCTCATCCGTTGGGCGCTTCTATGTCTGGCATGTCTTTCACGGTTCGGATGGTGCATACCGCAGCGTGTCCATCACGATTGCATTTGTTTGGACCAGAAGGTGGCGAAGCCATGTGGACCACATGCAACATGCATGTGGACCACATCAAAACCTCTTGGACGGGCATGTGGACCAAAGTGCACCGGGTGAACCACGCCTTAGCAGGTTGACACAGGAGGCCTGATCCTTGGAGGTCCTCGCGAGGTTCAAGGTGAACCATTGGAATTCTTGGGCAAAGGTCATAGCTGGATCCACTCATCGATGGACCCTAATCTATCCCAACCCTCATTTGTTGTTAAGGTGAGTCTGCTCATGCTTTTGGGCTGCAAGGACTTATTCAATCAGTTCTGGGCTCCGAGGCACAGCTCATCCATGCCAAGGGAAGGAACACCTACTTGTGCCAGGACTGAAGGGACGCACACTCTTCGGAAAGCATTTAAAAGGTCCAAAGACTGAAAGCGATTGGTCAAAGGAGGCTTTGAGTCCAATGGTCATGGTGGGGTTCCTGGAATGGGACCAGCATGGGATTATGTATCTTACTCATTTTGAGAGTGAAAATTGACGGAGTCTCTGGGTTGTCAGGATATGACTCATAACGCTTTGTCTCTGGGGATGGTCTGGGATGGTCAGATAGAATGGCTCAAGTCCCAGCTGTCCGAGAGTACTCTGCAATTTTGCAGCATTACTCAGTCCAGCTGCTCAAAGCACCACTTGCTCCAGTCCTGGTGAAATGAAGGAATTCCTTGACCTTGACCCTGCTGTCGGGTTTGCCGTCAATGTGCAGCTGCTGTTGGTAGAGCTTGTACAGCTCTCTCACCTAGAAAGGGCAACGTCCGATGTGTCGGCCACCGATGTGTCGGAACACCGAGCTCAAGTTGGCGAAATAGCCAACTGAGCAACAGATTGGCTACTCACCCTGATGTAGGAGGCCGTCACTCTTGGGTTGGAGGCCATTGCTAGCAGGTTGAATTTGTTCCCACATTTGCGACCTGTTGGGCTCTCTCTGTACGACCTGTTGGGCACTCTCCTTGCCTGGCCCGTTTCCAAATGCATTCTCTTCCAGAAGGCCTCTGGCTGGGCGTGCCGGACTTCTGGCAACGAAAGCAACCCCACCTGTCAAACCTCAATCTTCCTCAAGCCTCTGAGAGTTCGTAGACCCTTGTCATATAGTGTCTTAGACAAGTGAGTTACAAGACTGATATTGGCATCAGTTCCACCACTATTCACCACCCCTTCTTCTTTTTGGCTCCATGTTGAATTGGAGGAATGTGTGTGCTTCTGGTCTATGTCCCTTCTCCTGTGATCTGGGCAATTTCACGATCTCCCACCATCCGAGGACGACGCCTCCGACTGTGGTTTGTTGAGGTGTCGTTCGAGCCTTGCTTGGCCATGAAAGGCCAAATGCATTGAAAAAGGCGGCCAGCATTGCAAGCGCAGGCACATGCTCTTCAACGTGTTTCACCGTCTCGTGTGGCACAAGAAGGCCTCCCGGAACCGAGGTTACCCGAGGTGACTGAGTGATCTGCTTCAAAACCCCGATCTGAGATCACGGACTCTCCTTCACTCAGAACTTTATCATCTCCAGCATCTCCCATGAGCATGGCCCTCGGACATATCGCAATGATGCAAAGTGATCTTCGTGCATCAGCCTCCAATGGCTCGACTGTCCAATGTGGTGGGAGTTACTGGTGGGCTTTGAGGCACCAATTCACGCAATAAAGTCCAAGTTGCCGCAGCTCTTTACGGTCCTTCTTCTCCTCAGATTTCTGATCTTCGTGGTCCCTGGGCTGCATGTGGACTCCGGACAATCGCCACATGTGGGCATCAAACGAGTTGAATGTGAGGTGATATAAAAGTGTAGTAGAAAAAACAGAAGGGCACCGGGTCAGCAAAGCACACATAGAGTTTCAGCTGGGTAGCGCGATGACATCGTCCCTGCTGCGAAAGGCATTGGCTGATGCCAACGCACTATCCACAAAAATACCTCATGGATACTCAACATGTGGAAAATACATGAAAATACCTCGTGCTGGCCTCGAAGCTCATGACATGTCACTAACCTCGAAGCATGTGGCACGAAAGTTGCCAAACACCATGTCTACACATATATATATAGTATCGTAAGAGCTATATTAGTAACCATAGCCTATACAGAATTGTGAGTGTGCCATCCCATACTTGGGCTGTTTCACCGCCTCGCCAAGTGCTTGCAGGATCTTGCAGGAACTATACAGTTGTGTGTCATGTGAGCTTGTCAGAACTGGAATGACCTTCTGATTGTAGGTCCTGGTCCGTGTGGCGAAAGGTGATGTGATCATGTGCAATGCGCTTGAGGGCCATGTTAGCAGGTGATTTATGCATGTGTATAATGTTGTGCACAGCACCACCGGCTATGCAACTACATTCTTGTTCAATTCTCCTCGAGTGTCCAAACAAAAGTGCCTCAGAGGTCTACATTGAGTGCCTACACATTCTCCAGGTATCTCTTGTCATGTTTTAATCCGCTCTGCGTTTTGTCCAGAGTGCTGTCTATTTCGAAACCTCCAGTTCCATTGCCCCTTGCAAATAGCACGGCCTTCCCAACAAAACCCAATTCAATGCGCACTCAACACAGCTCTGCCAATGCGTTTCACAACTTCCAATTGCATTGGGCTCCGCTTTAAGCCGCTATGATCCCCTATGATATGCTATTATGACCCGTATGTCACGAAGGACAACTCAGAGGCAGCCCCGAAAACCTTCCTCGTAAGTGGTCCCGTGCCCATCCCAAGTAACATACATTGTGGTTGTTCCTTTTGGCTCCCCAACACGTTCCTTGCCTTCACACGTTCCTTCATATCTGTACGGAGATGATTTGAGGAGATGACTGGAGGCAATTCTGGAGATGTGTGGAGGTCGCTGCAGCCAGGCTGGATTGCCCAATTCGACATTGACATTTCATTGGCTGAACCTGATCCGCCAAAGCTCCTGAGCTGTTACTGTAAATTACAGTAGGGTGAGAAGCCTTGTGATGGCCTGCGGCGGTGGCAGCAGTATCTTGAAGGTAGCTGTGGCACCGGGTAAGGAAACGAAGTCTGAAAAGTTAAGATTAGGTCCAGAAAAAAAAATACACAAATTCAAATAGGTGTTGCTTGAAAAATGAAGAAAGCAATGGCGTCTACAAATGGTTTCTTTTCGTATGGGCAACTTGCAGGAAAAATCATGCTCTTGCGACTTGTGGACCTGTAACTACATTGAAGAAGCCGATAGTGCAGAATGCCGTAAACACAATGAAGGTGGCGAAGTAGAAGCCGTTGCTGTCCTTGGCTGCTTATGTCTTTGAAAGGATGATGGCAGGGTTCCATGAAAGACCCACATCAAACTTGCAAAGCAATAGTCTTGCTTTATCATTGTATATCATAGCAGTATGTCCCTCTGATTCCCCCGACGGGTTGAAAGTTGCAAAGCACCTGCCGCCACAAACCAACGCTTCGACGGGGCACCATATCCCGAAGCGTCGTAGCATACTGCATCCAATCCTTCATGCAAAGCAGCCGGTCCATGGTTCACCGGTTCGCCCTTGTTAAACCATGTTCACAAAAACATCAAGAAAAAAGAAAAGAACGGCAAGGGCCCCTTCAATGGTGAGATCGCCACCCCGTGTGCTTCTGCGGGTTGGCTTTGCTACTTGTAAAAACAATAATCTTTTGTTGCTGCGCCACTTCATCTTGAATTTCGCAACAAAACAACGGGAGAGGTCGCAATACCCAAAGGTGCCAAATGCAGTACTGGAGAGGTCGCGCTTTGCGTATTGCAAAGGAGGCCACAAATACCCCGGAAGTCGTGGGCGATCCCATGGCGATCCCATTCGTCGTGAGTAGATGGGTGTCTTCAACCGACGCGAAATGCTCACTGGTTGCCGTGACTTCCTTCGCCGGCTTGAGCATATAAAGGAAATAAGGCTCGAAGGAGGCCATGTTAGAGGGGCCCTCCTCACCTTATGTTGTGTTCTCTCTTTCTTCCGTATATGTGTCACACTTTGAGTTCTTCAAACCGCGCTGCTCACCTCAAGAAAGGTAGACTCGGCCACTGGGCCATGAGATTTTACCAAGGCTCGTTTCCACCACTAATCGCTGCCCACAGCGAGAGCATGGTCGCCGGTATGGATCCAAAGTACTCCTGCACCTGAGAGGCAAGAAGTAACATGCGCCAGTTGGCATGCAATTCTTCATGCACAGGGGGGATTCTCTCAACTCTCGCGCTGGGCAAACCATCTGGCAGTCCAATCCATCTGGCAGCCCATGCTGCCATTGATTTGACATGTGTAGACTCTAGACACCAGGTCCACCAGTGCTAAACAAGGCTTCTGGACACTGAACCAGAACTGCCCTCAGAGTGATCATATTGTCATTTATCACCCCTGCAGCTAAAAGCCTAATGGTACATTGACTCACTCAATTGGACACCTTTTTGATCATCTGGACACTAGAAGAGCAAACTGCACTGAAGCGCTAGTGCAGGCATGAAGCTTCTTTTGCAGTCTGGCCTTGGTTGGGGCGTATGTCACAGCAGGACTGGCTGACACACCCCTGGGCTGCTTCTCCACGGATGCAGCCAGGGCGTATGGCATCTAGCTCCGGAGACCGTTTCACCGCCGTGCGGCTTGAGGTCTCATTGAATGGCAGTGTCTCAAAATATCCGACCTGTCGCCGATTTCCCGGGCGTTTGTGGTCTTCCAATTCGATAAAGCATAGACTCTGTCTCTTAGCTTTGACCCTGCCGTGGCCGTCGAAAGGAAGATGCTGTAGATGCACAGGATGAGGGATACCTGAGCAAAGCATGTTCTGATCCAACCCGTCTTTGGGCACTTGGGGCATCCTTCAATCCTGGGGCACCTGCCACGACAAAGGCCCAAAACAAGTCCACCAACGAGGCACACAGCACCAGTAGCCTTGGAAGCTGGGCCAAGAATAGAAACCTTGTACCTTTTCTCAACAAGCCCACGCCCACCCGCAAGTTTCATTGTCATTGTCTAGTCAATGCAGCCACAAAACGTCTTCTTCAGCTTTCTCAACTCCTGCACAAAGGTGGCGAGCGGGCATTAGGTAAGCTACAAAACAAGAACTGCAAATGAACAGCACATTCATGACATCAACCAAACCGCCACACACGACTTGTCATGTTCACTTGTGATTTTCAAGATGATCAAACTACTGGCCCACCACATCGGCTGTGGACCACATCAAGACCATCTCAAGTCGAACCCCATGCCTTGGGCCTCTGCATGTGCTTCACCTCGGTAGTCTGGAAAAACGGCGCCCGGACCACTCCAGCTGCTCTGAGCACCGCACCAGCCGAGCCAGCCGGAAAATCCCTGGCAAGGAGGGAACGCTGCTCATGTGGCATGAGACCGCGCATGAGACCCCGCAGCGAGCCGCGGCGAACACTTGAGGCTTCGGCCAAGAACCCGGAGGTACCTGCAGCTTCGGCGCAGGAAGCATGGATAGATGGAGGAGCAAAAGGGGATATATTAAGCCACGTCACGAAAAACTCGAAGTGGAGGAGCGGATGATGAGCCCAACCACCGCCTCCAAAGTAATGAGGGCATCAAATGTGTTCCAGCCACTCTCCTGGGAGTTTCAAGGGGCAGTGGAGACCCCCGGCATGTACCCGGCTCATGTGTGATGCAGTCCGCTTGTTACGTTTTTGAACTCTGGTTTAGTAATGTTTCTAGATGTTTCTCGCAATAATGCTGGTTCTACTCACGACAATTTCATCTTCGACATTTTTTGTTCCACACTTCTACGCATCATCACCCACGCAGTATAGCAATGTCAAACCCGCACCTCTGCCAAACAAAAGAAATGGCAAGGGCCATCAGGAAGAATACGTATCATCATCTCCATCACAAACCTTGGATGCAACTGGCTGAAGTAGTCCGACAAGTGCCAATTGGGAACCAACGGCCAATTAGCTTTGGATCACGGGTCTCAAACGACACGCAAACTCTGACAAAGGTGCAAAATGAATGTGGAGTCCTACTCTACACAATTTTGATATCAAGCTGTGCTGGATTTACCACCTCCCGAGGAGCTCTCGTGCCCACCAAGTCACCAGGATGCAAAGAAAAAGTCGGCAGGATGCACATCAATGTGTTTTTGGGCTTCGTGGGTGGCCACCTGGTATGCGTTCCTGAGCAAGTCATTGGAGAGCATGCTTTGAGACTTCCCACGTGGGCATCGCCAAATGCAACTAGGAACCAGAACTCGCTATGGCCACATGGGCCACATGCAACCCGACAGGCAAGAACCTTGAGTGACCTCCTCGTGGGCGGCCAGCAATCAACTGTGCATGGTTCACTCGCACCATGTCAGCCCAGCCCATTTCGCTCCCGTGCGAGTCAGATGTTGGATCCAAGCGTAGGCTTATCCCTGTGTCTTCGATTTTCGGTTCTTGGTTTGTTGTTTGTGGCCCCGTGACGGAGCGGAACTGTCCCTCGCTTTTCGGTCCACACCTTCGGGGTGGTTGGGTTCTAAGCGCTCTGTCATGCGGTGCGACCCCATGGAGCGCACCTCAGATTTCGCGGTCTCTGATCCACACTAAGTGTTCATCCTTGAGCTTGTACTAGTCCCCGATATCACCTTTTGGTTGGTGCATGCGTACCTTGTTCATCGAGTCTTTTGCTTTCGTTTTCCTAGCTTGGTCCATGCACCGCAGCCTCCCTGGGCGTTGAGAACCACACAACTGGTTCAACAGCTCACACACAAACCTCACCAGTTTACGAGACAACTGCAACAACGAAACCAAATGCGGGCTCGCAACATTTGTCGACAGGAACAACCGAAGTGTTGTCCCTACAACAACAGTTCTCGTCGTTCTCGACTGGCTACCGGGACAACCCGTGGACTTGGGGCTCCTCATATCATCACTTCCTCAGTCGCTAATGTAGAAGGTCAGCTAAGGTCAAGGTGGAGCACAACGCCTATGTAAACGGACTCCAAGCTTTTGGCACGCCTCGTTCACACCAGACTCCACAGCCCCTGTTTTTCACGTTCTTTGAGCTAGGAGTCCCCAGTCCCCCACCTCCTAGAGGTGCCAACTGTCCCCGACCTCCTAGGCTGGGTGACAACGTGGAGTTTGCCTACAACCTGGTGCAAACCAGGTTGAGCACAATTGGTGGCGCATCGTTGTTCGAAGGAGACCAATCTGTCACCTTTGTTCTGGTTCATCTCTGGCGCACACTGTGCGATAAGTGTGATGATTTTGAGGATTTTTGGTTCCTTCGGGTGACTCCCAGGTGCACCTCACGGCCTCACGGGATCTCGTTGGTCACCAGTATTTAGGATAGACTATTTTTGGCACGCAGTAGCGGCTGCCTCCGTCGCAATCATCATCATCATCATCATCTTCATCATAATGATAACAATAATAGTAATAATAATAAGCATCATCATCATCATCATCATCATCATCATCATCACCATCATCATCATCATCATCTTTCTTTCACGACGCCCTCAGCTTCATGAGGTAGCGTTGACCTCTTTGTTCCAGGTCTGCACATCCCCCCGTGGGGGTCAACTGAACGACCTCTCAAGCTGTAGCGCAAGCGTGTTTTGTGCATTGGCTACCTGTGTAGCTCGGAGGAAGCAGTGGAGCAATCCAAAATTGAGCAGGCACGGACATACGTGCTCATCCTGCTGCTCAGTCCTAGCATAGTACGGGTGGCATGCACAGATTCGACCTGGCAATGCCTTCGTCAGAAAGCCTCTCATCAAATCTTCAGTCAGCGGCTCTGCAGCAGCAAACCAGGCCGCATGGTGCAGCTTGAGGTGGTTCAACAGGTTGGGTGGGCGCAGGCTGCACAGCGCGCAATTGAAGACGAGGTATCGGCATACGTCCGGCCATTCCAAAAGAAAACCCACATCGAGACGATCGATCGACGAAAGCCAAGTGGCCTGCCAAGGACGACCAGCCGAAAAGGCATGCTTCAGGTTCATCATCATCTGATCCCTGCTCAGGGGAGTTGGAGAGCCAGCAGCCTCCGTGGAGAGCTCGACATCAATCTCCATGGCCCCTCCATTCTTGCTGTTCAACCAGAGGAGACAGCAGTTCCTTAGGATTTTGTCAGGCAGGACAGGTGTGGCAGCAGGGGGCGCATCATCGTCCAATAGATACCAGACTTCCCCGTCCCATAGTGCAGTTCTGTAGTGACCAGAGCTAGAATCATCACCCAAATGAAAAGAGACTGCCGTCACCTCAAAAGGAACTTTGTCTACCTCCATGGTGGCTCCAGTGAAATACGGAAGGAATACCGGGGAGGACCAAACCAGCTTCCGAAAGCACTTGTTTCCAGATTGGTCGAACCGGTCGATCTGGAGGCACAGCATGTCAGAGACTCCTGATAAAGCCTGAAGGCCATAGGACTCAAGGCTCCATGTGGTGATCAAATCCTGCAGCGCGGTTTCATCTCTTTTCGAGCCATCGCTCAAGTAGAGCCTCACAGGACAGTGGTGAGATCCGCCGTCCACCGTACGCACCTGGGCATCAGCGTCAACCCTGGCTTCCCAGAGATTGCTAGCAAAGCACGGTGACACCTGGGACAAAAGGAAGTGTGCAAAATCAACCAAGTCATGCTGTTCAAACGGTTTGTCCCAGGACTGAAGGAGTGTCAGCCAAGGTCCATTGGACCATAAAAGCATCGGCTCAGCTGGAGCGTCAGTAAGTAGCTGACCAAACACTTCAGGCAGAATCTCCCATTGGCTGTCCTGTAGAGGTCCCTGTTGGATGGCACCCCATAGCAATCCTTGAACTGTAGCGTTCATGTAGCAGCAGTTTTGGGGATTGCTCAGTCCCCTGAGGTACTTGCCGTCTTCTGTGATCACATGGTCTCGAGTAGCCTCCCCAAGTGAGAGGCTAGTGGAGTTCGCTGTAGGTTGGCCTGCCTCATCCTTCCCAAGATCAGCTGCCAAGCGCCGGAGTGTGTCATCTCCTGCCATACGGAGTGCATCTCCATGGAGTGTCTGTGAGAGAGAGCAAGTGATAGCCTCCATGGGATCACCTGAGGAGTCGATGTTTGCTCCTTGTTCATGTTCTGCTGAATCTGGGCATTGGGGCGAAGGGCCCCGAACCTGATGATCAGTGCCTGTTGCTGTAGCAAGGTCAATATCTTGGTGATCTGGTTGGCCACGTACGGCATCGTCAATGCTGTTCTGTTCGTGTCTATTTCCAGAGCTTTTTGTGTCGGGTTCCACTGCAGGAAGGAGAAGCGGAGTTCGTTGCTGTTCTCCCCCGGAGTCAAGTAGTGAAACTTGAGTAAAGTCTGGACCAAGTCGTCTTCTTGTCGAGCGGTCTGAAGTTTGCGGACTCTCGTCAGCAACTCCTCCAGCATGACTCTCAGGACCTTGATCCTCAAGGGCATCGTACGGTCCTGGGGCTCGGTGAGATGCCATTCCTCCGTGGCTTGCATCATCTTGAACATGATGCTCCCTGGACCGAGGCTCAAAAAAAGCATGTAGTCCTGCTCCATGGCTAACCCTCTCAACGCGTCTTCGTGTCGAAGTGATAGTCGAGCAAGGGTCTGGACGATTTGCCTGAGATCGTCGGTTTGGCTGCTCTGCTGTGGTGTCCGGCGATTTTTGCCTTTTCCCTTGCCTTTGGTAGGCCGGTGTTCTGCTTTCTGTCTCTTGGATTGGGGCTGGGAGTCGTCTGGTTCGTCCTTGGTGGAAGCCAAGGTCTTGAGGACGCCCCACATCTGCTGGATTTGACTTGGGTCCTGATCCCGGTCCTCGATGTCCATGATGAAGTCGACAGAGCAGACCTGCTAACTGAAGCAAGATCGGGCACTCATGGGCTGCAGTCAAGTGCAAGTTGCAAACCGAGCACTGGTGCAGGTGGGGTGTCATGTCCAGGAGATATCTATAGTATAGTGCCCCCCTGGTGCAATCCGTGGGATGTTGGTGTCGGAGATGTAGGAACATGTCATGAGCCCCCACTGATCGACCACACAGTGCACAGCATTGCCCAAGAGCGGCGCACAAGTCTGGAGTGCTGATGAGTTTCGCAAGCTCGCCAGTGACCAGCCAATCATCCAGCTCCGGCCATAGGAGGTGCAGTGAAGGGCACAGGACAGTCAGGTCCAGCTTCAATGCCTGAGTGAGCTTGGTGTCTGGATCAGAGTGTCTGAACTTGTGAAGGTCGTGGTGCACAAGTAGGGCCAGGTGAGAGAACAATGTACAAACATGTGGTCCTCCAGGTGGTCTGGTACACGTGCAACCCAACCTAGCCAGTGCAGTGTGGGTTTGAAGCCATTCCGCATACTTGGTCAATTCAGCCCAGCGGTCACCATGCTCCGTGCCCAAATGTCGAAGGAGTGAGGTGGAGCTTTGGGAGAGGTGTCCACAAATTCCACAACGGAGGCCCAGTCGCCTAACCAGACTTTTGTACCCCATCAAATGATCAAACGTCCCACCGCTGAGTCCAGCCAAGATCACCGGATGATGCCAGAGATATGGTACCTCAGCCGTGTCCTGGATGAAGGTGTCACATTGATTGCCAATGATGTGGAGTTTCAAGGCCTTCAGTGTCGAGAAGGACAGGTCACAGTGACTGCACTTCATTTCTCCAGGGACCTGATCACGGAGAGGCTGGAAAGTCGTCTGAACTGTGGTATGTGGGTGTTGCATACTCAAGTGCTGATGAAGCCCAGCAGCCGTGGCAAATTGACAGTCACAAGAGGTGCACTGATACTGGGCCTGAGATCTATGATCAGCCATTGTAGGCGGATCTGGTGCCTCTGGATGTTCATGTCTAAATCTGCGGTCTCCAAGTGCCAGGCCCAACTGCTTCATTACTGCACAGGTGTGTGTCTTCGACTTGAAGTCCTTTTTGCAGTATTCACATGGAGATTGAACACGTGCTCGTGTGACGTTGGGCATGACCTTGTTGATAAGGGCTGAGGCATCCGGGTGATCCCGCCCAACATGAGCACTCATCTGCTGAGTGCGTGCAGCCCAGTAGCCACAAAGGACACACCTGTGGGTGAGGAAGGTGCAGAGATTGCCATCCTCTTTCAGCAGCTGAAGGTCACCAGCATCATAGATATCAAGCAGCCGACGGCGGTGTTGTTGCAAGATCAAAGGCGGAGCCTTGGTGCAATTCATGCCAGGACAGGAGCTGGATTGGATGTGGTAGCGCATATTTTGCCAACTGATGAACGCTACACCGCAGTGTCTACAAGTTGGACGTCCATCTATGGTGTCTCGTGCAATGTTCAACTCTGGACCCTGCAAAACCGCAATACCATGTTCATGGACAAGGTGTCGTCGATAGGTGTGTTGTTGTTGGAACTGTTTACCACATATGTTGCACTCCATACCAGCCTCTGCCAGGTGGTAATGGATATCCTCCTCGGGCTGGGCCATGAAGTCCTGCAGCCATTGGTGCGTGATTTCCACCGATTGACTCAGGTGTGTGGCATTGATGGAATGCAGAATATCATGTTGTGGCAACGTGTTCCTTCTCTCCTCCCAACGTTCCAGTTGAGAGATCAAGCGGCAATGCAGAGCACGGATTGGATGCTCAAGTCCATGGGCGCTCAGGAATGCTCGATGAGAATTATGGGTCAAATAGGAATGATCCCCTCCAAGTTGTCGAAGTTGCCGCAACAGCTGTTTATGTAACATGTTCAACGTTCCTTCAGTCACTCCAACGGCGTCAATACCATATGAGGATACCGGGAACAGGCATGTGTACCAGAGCTCATGTTTCTGCAACATGGAAATCCTATTCCCCCGCTTGAACCATGGCAGCATTTGTTTGAATCTCAGGTTGCATGCGGTCAATCTGTGTCTCATGGTCAACAGAGGTGTCTGTGCATAGCTGATCTTCACTCCAAGATAATCCTGTGAAGTCTTGAGGGGAATGTCATAGGTTTGGTGAAGTCCAGCAATTTGAAGAACCTGCTGATGTGATCGACGTCGAAGGTACAGCTGTTGAGCCTTCTTTTTATGCTTTCCTCTTAGCTCCAGCAGTATAGCGGACTTGGTGAGGTTGACAGTCATTCCAAATTGGGTCAGAGTATCAAGGACTGTTCCCATATATTGAAGTCCCTGTTGGAACTCAGCCAAGCTGGTGAACTTGAAACAGAGATGACCGTCATCAGCATAGAACGTGCAGAAGGTGTTCATCCATTCAACCGAGGTTGTATTAGCCACCTCGTTGAGAATCAAGGCCACAAAAGAGGCCCAAAAGAATGGAGCGCCACGACAGCCTTGTCTCACACCCTTGTATGTGGGTACTGTGCATGTCTGACCTTTGTACATCAAGATGTATTTGGTATCAACATGCCACTGTAACAGAACGTTGGCCACATGTGATGGAATCTGCAACAAGTCAAAAGCCTGCATCAGAGAAGACCGAGGCATGTGATCGAAGGCTTGTGTGAGATCCAAAAACAATTGGCATCCTCCGTACAGCATGGGTCGAGGCCCCTCAGCGTTCAGTTCACTGCGGCTTGCATTGTATCTCCATCGTTCTGTCATTGAAGCCACCTCCCGAACATGTGAGTAGACTCGACATATTGCATCCCATGTACCTCTACCTGGAAGATAGGCAAATTGTGGAAACATGCATAACATTGGTAGGGCATGGGCCCTTGCAGCTGTTACGAAGAGGGACATGATGCTTTTGGCCAGCGGTGTTTGAAGTGCAATGGGTCGGAGGGCGTTCGGTTTGTTTGGCGCCTTTGTGGGCTTCGTCAGGAAGACTATCCAGCCGCTGCGCCATTCTTCTGGTATGTGCCCCTGTCGGAACCAGTGATGGCACCATCCTTCCAGGAGAGTGCTGATCGGTCCAGAGAGGGATTTCCACACAAAGCTTGGTGCAACATGGGCAGGGACTGCCTTTCTTCCCTCCATATGGTTCAACTCATGTGCCAGGTCATCAGCCATCACTGGAGAGTTCTCAAGTGCAAAACCCGGAAAGTCAACAGGCGTTGCCTTGTAGAGAGAGAGCATGTACTGTTCCAACAGCGAAATTTCCTCAACCGGAGAAAGAAGGTGACCCTGAGTATCCCGAAGATGAGGTCGTTGTGAGAAAGACTTGGGAGTCAGCCGGTGGATCGTATGGAAATAGTGATGAGTCTGATTGTTGGCCCAGTACAGAGTAGCTTGATCAATGATGTTTTGCACCCAATCACGTCGATGGTTCATGGCAATCTTTCGTGTTGATTTCCTCCACCGTGTTCGATCATGTACCCACTTCCATCCCTGAAACAAATCCAGCAAAAGTGAGGTGCCAGAGGGCCGCCAGGAAGGAGCCGGAGCGGCATTGAGCGCCCATGTCCACTTTTGTGCAGTTGGTTCCTTGGCAGGTTGGGCTGATGGTCGAAACGTCCGACAGGCTTGGAGGAGAGTCTCGTTGAGCTTTGTAAGGTCTGGCGTCTCAGGCATCTCCAGAGAAATCTCACTTTGAAGATGAAGAACAAATTGTTGCCAGTCAGTAGTGTTATTTTCCCAGTGGTTTTGCAAGGTCAGCCTCTGAGACCTGGTTAAGCCCGTAGTGCTTGCCGGTGGATAGAATCTTTTCCATGGAATACCACACAAAATCGGTTGGTGGTCCTCATGCAGGCCCATCATCTTCGGTAAGTCCTGAAGATAACAAACTTGTTTGGATTTCGTGTCCCCATCCCTTTGCTGAACAAAGACAAAGTCGATGCGGGAGGAGACTTGGCGAGGGCCTCTGTATGTAGCCCCAAGCTCTGGTTTCCATGTGTTGAGCGCCACCAAGGAAAGGTCCTTTAACATTTGTTGCAGTACTTGTGTATCAGGATGTTTGGTGCCGGTGTGCCTTCCAGTTTTTGTGGCAAAGTCACTCAATCCAACACAGTGAGCTTGGTGTCGAAGGCTGGTGTTGAGGTCCCCACCAAAGATCCAACAATTTCGTTTGGGCAGCTTCTTGATCGTTTGATGCATACGGGTCCAAAACTGGGCTCTCTGAGAACTACTCTCATTGTCCGCAGGGTTCCACGGATGTTGGTACAGGTTCAGGATGTCAATGCTATATGTATACATGTACAGGCGCACATGTTGTATGCGGCTCTCCAGTGGTGTGGCCCAAGAAATGTTGTCAATTGAACAAAAACCCAGGCGAATCATGGTGAGCAGCCCACCTCGGCGGAATGTGGCTCCTGAATGTATATATGCAAATTGATTGTCCTGCCATTCTCCTGTAAAAGTCCATCCAGTGTCCTGCAGGCACGCGCAGTCAATCGATTGATGGTGCATCCATGCTCTGAACATGTCCCATTTGGTCATGCTGAGTTGCCCAATGTTCCAGGTGAAAAAGGACATCCTCCCCTGTCGAAACTTTCCAGAGGGCTTCCGATTGGGAGGGTACTGATGTGTCTTCGAGGGCTGCATGTGGATCTGGTCAGTGATAGTGGTCTGTCGGGGCCACTCGTGTACCGGAATTCCAAGCTGTGATGCGGTCAGAAATTGACCTCTGTACCAAGTGACTCCATGTAGAGTGGCCCTCTTTACTGCCTTGATGAAAGCCTTCTTCCTGAGTACCCGATGTGGGTCGTTCTTTTGATGTGCCTGAACTCGAATAGGGTCATGGCCATCTTGCTTCGTCCATCGTGTTGGACTATGGGAGATGTTAGGATTGAGGACTCCTCCAACTCTGATGGCGGAGTTGGAACCCTCGGGCCGCCAGCAGGGAGCGTGTGGATTGAACTGAAAGTTGGACATGAAGAGGCAAATCCAAAGGAAGGTGCCACCAATCAAGATTCTTTCTCGCCTGCTGTTCTGGGGTTTGGGACCCAGAAGAGGGATCATGAACCAAAATGTAGCAAAAAGAAATCAACGTATTCTTGACCTCCAGGATCGTTGTCAGGAACAGGAAGCAAAGGGGATGTACTTCACGATGTTCCCCTCCCACCAAGACCGGCGCCCAGCCGAGGAGCCAAAAGCGCACAGCCACCAGGTGCTAGCTAGCAGCCACAGGAGAGGCTCAGCAGCGGCCGCCGTGCTTCCGGGAGGTGATCAAAAACTGGAGCGCCAGATCAGGAGGTGCTGGATGGCCGCTCCATGGGAGCAGCGGCGCGTTTGATCCACTCGCGGCCCTTCATCATCATCATCATCATCATCATCATCATCATCATCATCATCCCGTTGCCGCTTGCCTGTTCAAAACTGTGAATTTCCTCCAAGTGTCATCATCTTCCAATCTGAATGGATGCAAATGTAGATCCCATTGGCCAGAATCACCAGTGCACAAACCACCTGCAAGCTAAGCTAATATGCCACCAATCTGCGGCGTTTGAGCAAATCTGTGCAGTTGGCTCATCATGTCCAAATAGTTTGCACCTATTCACAGCGTGGTTATCAAAAACACAAGATATCCACAAACCAATCCCATCATTCAGAGCAGGGAGAATCCCGTGGTTCCTTGCAACAGGAAGGTCCGGTTGCCCAGGCAAAGTCCGCTGTCGCCCTTTCCTCGTCAGCACTGCCAGTCCAACCATAGGCGTCGACGTGCGCTTGGAGCATTTCGGCCACCTCTGGATACCGGGAGGCTAAGTCAATCGCTGTCTCGCCATCTCCGTTGGTGTTGACCTGTGCTCCTCGACCTTGGAAAGACACGGGCAGACAAAGCAATATCAGGTCCTTGCCGAATCCAAAGAAAAAAGTCGACGCCTGCAGAATCTGCTTCAGCGGCAGCGATTTACAAACCTGTGAAGAAGTTGCACACAAACAGTTCGAGCTGAGTTGCTGAGAAGAAGCTGTACAATGTCAGCGTGGCCATACATTGCGGCAACCATCAAGGCTGTGTAGCCAAAGCGCCCTCTGGTGTTGGCTTGCGCCCTTGATTCCAACAGTGTGTCAACGACCTGGCTGAGCTTGGGAAAGGAACAGCAACTCTAAATAGTTAACCCAGCTGACAACCCCAAGAGCAAACCATCCACCAAAATCGGGCACATTCTTGTGCGTGCGTTGTTCGTGGCGCTGTTTTTTTCACATATGGTATATTGCATATATCAAGGACATATTGTAAACACAAAGAAGTTACACAAACAAATTAAATATCCAAGCAAAATGTGTAAGTTCCATAGACCATTAAGAAATGTTCGCCGATGGCCGAATTCTATCTTCCACCATCCACGTGTCTGCGCACGGCGCATTCGTCTGCAGAACCATTTCGGCTCAACACAACAAAAGACACGCGCCAATAGAGCCAATGAGACGCGTTCTACGCGCAAATTCTGTTCGGACAAAAAACACTTTTATTACAAATGACTGGAACATATGTTCACCAAAAGAGAAGAAAATGTATTGAAGGACAGGCACATAATTTGCGACACGGGCACAATGAATGCAGTTGTCAGATGGACCATCCTTGGAGTTCTGGCACCCTGAAGATACACGTTTGGGAAGTGGTTTTCGGCATGTAAAGATTGCTTGCCTGACGCTGCGTTTCTTGCATCGCATCGTTCCTGTATAAATCATGCGTTGGCACCTGTGCATGCATCCGCTGCTTGCATGTACTTTTTCTGCTTATTGTTAAACAGTGTGTAAATTACGCGTTTGCATCCCAAAGCTCGAAGTCCCATGATCCCATGACTTAGGAAAGGTGGCCAAAAATACGCCACGACCGTGCAAGATGACATAGGAACAAAGGGTTGTTGAAAAAGGTGCCAACTGCCCATGTCATGATGCATGTGATTTCTCTCTCACACATTGATTTCACCATATAGTTTTTTCTATTTTTTTGATTGCTCCCTCAGGGGGGGTAAGCGCATGTAAGCACGCCTTTTGACCAGGCACATGACTCAGGAGGTGGCTATCCCAGCCGACTATGTCACTAGACCCGTAGGTCCTAAGTGACTAGACCCCAGTATATATATCCATATATTACATATGTTTGTCGGTGGGTCTGTATTGAAAATTAATTCCAAGGAGGGGAGGTTGAATTGAGCAATCAATTATTCGACCCGGAGGAGCCAACACTTGCTTCGCAAGACAAACTCAAGGTATCCCCCAAAGGTTGATGAACACGGAGGATGCTTGACCTCCACACCAAGACTTGATGAACGTGGGGTGGTGAAGCCAAGTTTGGACCATGAGCAGCCCGGGGCATGGACGGCGCACCCTGGCACACCAGGGTGTCAAGAATCCACGGTCTCTCTCTCTCTCTCTCTCTCTCTGTTTCTTTCTTTCTGTCTCTGTCTCAGTCTTAAAGCATCTATATAGGTGAACAAAAAAAAGGTTTCAGACCAAAAGACTCTGCACCCTGGCACTTCCTGACCATCACTCACAAAAATGCCTTTAGCTCTTGGAGCTGACCCTGCCACTGCTGCCAATGGCAGGAAATTTTCACATGACACAGGGGGTTTAAACACAGGTTTCCAGCACAAGTCCTTAGTCATTTTCCTGAAAATCCTTGTTTTCATCGTTTTTAGGTGTTTTTCAAACCTGCTCTAGAAGTCCTGTTCTGCAATATTCTCCCTGATGACTTAGGCCAAAGGTGCTTTCTACCAAACTTACTTTGCCTGATGACTTGGAACGCTGTAATTTTGAGGTATCTCCGTTAACTCTTAGTCCTCAGGACCCAGTATATATATATATATCTGCATGTATTGAAATGCCACCGCAAAAATTTGACACAAAGTTACACAAACAAGCTCAATATCTAAGCAGAATGTATTTTCATGTATTTTCCATTGACTACAGAAGCTCTGAAGGATTGCTCGCAGATGGCCGAATTGTTCAAGTGCCTGCGCATGGTCTTTACATCTGCAGAACCAATTCAACACAGCACAACAAAAGGTTCGCACCAAGGAAAGGGTGTGTGTATGTTTACATATCCAGGTACACAAGCCCTACCCGGGCAGAGAATCGGGATATAAGCTCATACAAGTGACAGGAAAATGTTTACCGAGTATGTATTGATCCGGAGCACACCATGTCTACACGAAAGGGGGTGCTAAAATCAGATCACAAAAAGACATACTTTACGTAAGTATTGGCACCAGGGAAGATACACCTTTGGACATGCAAGGGCATAGTTTATACAAAAGCACGCAAATCAAGCGAATCATTAAATCAAAGATGTTTTACAACAGTAGTACGAAATATATATATATATACATCGAAGCAGCAAACGCATCTACATGCGCCAGCGCATGACTTATACACGAGCGATACAAGAAAGGCAGTGTCAAGCAAGCAGTTTTAAAATCCACCAACACCAAAACTGTTGAAATGCAATCACAAAAATGTTGACCACAAGTTCCAAGAACAAGTTCACTATCCAAACGTGTAAACTTTCATAGACCACGTAGCGCCTAAGGAATCTCCGCCGGTGGCCGAAATTTATGTTCAAGTGCCTGCGCGCCGTTATTGCATCCGAGAAACATACTCACCAAAAGAATTCAAGTGCCTATACCAAAAAAGTTGTACCGAGAGGAGTTAGACATGGGCGTACACGATATCCACACAGGCAAAGAATGAGACGGTTCACAGGATAAACGAAAAAACAATGCACTTTCAAGGGAAAAAGATGCTAACGACAGGTGCAACGACAGGTAGCAAAGGGAGCACAGTTTAAGTATTGGCACCGCGGAAGATAGGCGTTTGGACATGCCAGCGAGTAGTTCTTACATAGAGAGTTACAAGTACTCATCTCGTTCAAACGTGGCAAAAACACAATAAATATCTACTTAAGCAGACCGCGTATTTACTCGCCAAGTCGGGTGAAGGATCAAAAAAAATAAATAAGGATCAAAAACATAATAAAGCAATGAGATCAAAAGAAAAATTAATAAAGATCAACAAAAAAACAAAATCTGGTGACGTAGTAACAAAAACAATTGACAGACGAGGATCAAAAACAAAACAAATAAGAATCAACAAAGAAAGAACAGTAATGTGTGCAGTGGCAACAGTAGTAGTGACCGTCGTCGTCGTTGTCGTCGTTGTCGTCGTCGTCGTTGTAGTCGTAGTAGTAGTGGTAGTGGTAGTGGTAGTGGTAGTAGTGGTAGTAGTCGTAGTAGTAGTAGTAGTGGTGGTGGTGGTGGTAGTAGTAGTAGTAGTAGTAGATAGTAGTAGTAAGTAGAAGGTAGTAGGTAGTAGGTAACAGGTAGTTGGTAGTTGGTAGTAGGTAGTAGGTAGTAGCAGTAGTAGTAGTGGCAGTAGTAGTAGCAGCAGCAGCAGCAGTAGTAGTAGTAGTAGTCGAAGGCAGGTATATTTACATGGGAATGGCTCATATGTCTGTCTTTTTTTCTTTCCTTCCTTCCTTCCTTCCTTCCTTCCTTCCTTCCTTCCTTCTCTCTTTCTTTCTTTCTTTCTTTCTTTTCTCTCTTCTCTATTGCTTCTTTTTATCCCTGCTTGTTGTTGTCTTGATCTCTGCTTATTTTTTTATTGATCCCTATTTGTTTTGTTATTGATCCCTATTTATGTCTTTATTGATCCCTATTTTTTTTTGATACCTCTCCCCGCCAAGTCGGGCTTTATACAAAAACAAAACCAGAAGGGATGCGCTTCTCAAGCGCAGCAATGTCCTTACATGTCGACGCAAAATTGATACGTTCACGTGCAAGACGATGCTTAATGCAATGTGCATCAGGCGTGTGGACATGCAAGCCCACAGTTCATACACGCACAAAGACTCAGACCAAGACACAAACACAACATAAGCGAGACACCATCAAGACATCGGCAAACCACCGCCAAAACAGAACCGATACACCACCAAAACGGCAAAACATGTCAAAAAGACACCAAAACACAGCCGGCACACCACCCGAACATGAGCAAGATACCGCCGAAACATGACCGAGACACCACCTAAGCAGAGGACCGAGACACCACATAAACATGACTCAGGCACTACCAAGACATGACTGAGACACCACCTAAACTCCTAAACTTCCTAAGCATGACCGAGACGACGGGACTCCACCGCCCAGGCCAGGCCGGGGTCCGCGGAAACGACAGCGCCCAGCCGCGTAAAGAGTGCACAACCGCAAGCTATCGCTATTGGGGAATAAAAACAACTGTCCTAAAACCTCTGGGCTCTGCATCCCCAACACAGCCTCGTGTTGAGACCCAAAACAATCCAAGATTGCACAAGGTCATAGATTGACGAGGGCTGGTCCCCATCTTTGGTCTAGAATGCTATTTCCAATGGATGTCTCTCCATGAGTTTTGCTGTCCCGGCACTACCACGCACGGGATTTGAGGGTAGCTGGCAATGATCTCAAATGATCTCAAATGATACATTCCACTGTGCCTGGTTTCCTGCGTGGGCACTCCTGAGAACCGACCTGTCCCCGACCTCATCGTTTCCAAAGCGTGCGGCCAAGCGAAGCGGGGTCAAGTCAGCTTCCACTGGTTTCTCCGCATCAGCTCGTGCTCGCAAGAGCCACTTCACCGCCTGAACCAAGTGCAGTTTGGGGATGTTGTGGGCAATAATGAGGAACTTCAAAAGCCTAGACTTCTCAAAGCCCCGTTGGAAAGTCCGTTGAGTGGGCCGCAAAACAGCACCCAAACACAAGCAGCATGCTGCCTCCTGATTCGCTTCTCTTTATCTTGTTAAATTCATTCTGTTCCCCCCGTGCTGAGGGAAGAACATTGGTTCCAACAAATCTGCCTTCACTGGCCCGCTTCGAAGGGCAATCTGCATAGCTCGACGTTCCTCATGCACAGCAACGCCGCAGTGCTGAAGGATCATCAAGCCATCCTGTCACTAAAAGTGCCACGGTGTTCATGTCCAAAGTTTTGTCTACACTTGGGAGGCGCGACAGTATTGTCCAAGTGTTCTAAGCCCCAAAAATGAGCACCACATGCCATGCCCACGACATGGTTGCAGCTTAAAACATAGTTGGATCAACTTCCCACCAGTCGCCGGATTGGTAGGGCTCCTCTAACTCCTGCATCCCTCGATCCGGCCGCGCCTGCCATTTCGGCCACGGCACCGTGCGGTCCAGGGCCTTTGCCAGGACCGCCTCGCCCGTGGGGGCACCGGTGACTGAAGACACCAATGTCAAGAGCTGACGGCGCATGGGCTGCGAGGCCAAGAAGGACCTGCTGAACAGGGTGTTTCCATGTTTTTCCCTGGCACAAGCAATGTCAGCAACTGTCAATGATGTGTGATTTGGATCTCGAGGGTTTTGTGTGCTCTGGGGGGAATACACGAGCAAAGGCCACAATTCCAGAAGGCGATGCCGAAACATCAAAACTCTGGAACGTACTAAGGACAGGCAGCCATGTCCAACATGTCTCTCTCTCTATATATATGTATGTATGTATGTATGTATGTATGTATGTATGTATGTATGTATGT